ACATTGGGTGTGTTGCGGGGTCAGAGGGAGCTGCTTATGACGATCCTTGAGGCCTGTGCCCACGACCCACTCGCACGTTGGGCGGTGACGGTGGTGCCGCCGCAGCGGCAACAAGGGCGTCCGCAAGAAATCGCCCTGCAGGTGGGCGAGGAGGAAGAGGGGGAAGCGGTGAGGAGGACGACGCCGCGGCAACGTGACTTGGGCGTCAGCCGTGGGAAGCCAACGTACGCCGATGCGGAACGGGTGCTCTCACATGTTGCTGAGAAGATTGAGGGGTACGAATCCGGCGAACTGCTCAGTGTGCCAACGCATGTGCACAAACTGCTGCAGACGGCTCAAAACACGGAGCTACTCGCTCAAATGTTTGTGGGCTGGTCTCCGTGGCTGTAGTAACATATCGAGCACCATCGCAACGAAACATGCATTCCCCGTGTTATTATTATTATTATTATTTTTTTTTTTTAAACAGAAATTACCCCCTTTCCACAGTCAACACATTCATGATGCCTCAGCAGAGCTTGGCGACTGTGCGGGTGCGTGTGACACACACAACAGAAATACAAACAAACATTTTCTTTCTTTTTTTTTAAGAGGGGAAAAATGGAGAGATTTTCTTCTTTTTTTTTTTTTTTCTTTTTTTTTTTTCTTTTTGGCGTTGTATTCGGGACATTCCCTCATGATCATTACAGTGCTGTGGGCTTTCCAGCCTTTTAATAGGAACCCAGTGACGTTTCTCTCTCTCTCTCTCTCTCTCTCTGTCTGTCTGTTTGTGTGTTTGTGTGTTCATTTGTGTGTTTCTGGGGAATACGGCGTTGTTGACATGAGTTTTTGTGTGTGTGCCTCCCTTTCCTTCTGTTTCTTTCTTTTACGGCGTCTTTTTTTTTTTTTTTTCTTCTTTTGTCTCATTATTATTATTAATTATTTTGGGGACGAAGCGAGTTGCTGCGGTGCGGACCTCGTTGCTTCCTGCCTGCGTGCCTGCGTGCCTGCGTGCAAAAGTGACAGACACACACACAGAGGCGCACCCACCCCGTCTTTTTCCTCCCCGTCATTGCTGTAAGCATCGTGTGAGGAGAGAGAGACGGAGCGTGTGTGTGTGTGCACGTGTGGGTTCCGCGACGGAATTCGCTTTTTTCTCCCCCCCTCCCGCTGAGTAAACGTCTGGGAGGAATATCGGCGAAGTGAATAATCAAACAAAACAACATCAAACAACAACAACAACAAGAAAGAAAAGAACGAGGAGGACTACAGGACGAGTAAAAAAGTCATCCACAACAAACACAACCGATACGAATAAGAAGAGGACGAAAACGTCATTAACAAACGGAAATTTAACATTACACCACGAAAAAGATGACATCGCCGATTTCAACAAATTACTTTACACGGGCGATGGAGTTGGCCCACATGTGCATCCCGGATGTGACGCCGCAGGAGCGACTGGAAGCGGAGCGATATCTCATGTCTCTGCGTGCCACCGCGGACGGCCTGAATTTGTCCTTCCACATCATTAGCAACGAACCGGTGCATGATCTTCGTTGCTTTTGGGCCTTTAACACGATTATGCATCACCTTCCGACTATTGCGGGCAGTATCAACGACGCCCAGGCGGAGGAACTCTACCGCACAGTT